ATGTACACATGTATATTTCATGTAAAAAATTTTTTTGTTTTTTTAATATCCGGGTGTCAGGAACGGATTAATTTTTTTTCATTATTTTTTATGGAAAAATTGTTCTAAATCTTTAAATTTCGTTTAAGTAACGGCTCCAGGAACGGATTAATTACGAAAATAAAGGGACCACTGTAATTGCAAAACACCCAAACGCACATTAGGTATTATCCTAGATAAATGTATTCATCATTCCTACCTACTACCTCCCTTTTTTTTTTTTTCATTCTTTTTTTATTTCTTCATTCTTTCTTTCTTCATTCCTCCTTCCTTCCTTCTGGTTTCTATAATATATATATACACATATATATCACATATATTATTTTATAATTATATTTTATATATATATATATATATATATAATATATACATACATCTAGGTTTTTCTCCTTTTTCTAAATAGCTCTTGTTCTTTTTTATTTCTTCTATTGTCCAGGGGGAAGTGGAAAAATCTTTCCTCCGTAAGCCATGCGTGTTGTATGAGGCGACTAAAATGCCGGGAGCAAGGGCTAGAAACCCCCTTCTCCTGTATACATTTACAAAAAAAGAGAAGAAGAAAAACTTTATAAAACTGGATGCTTAATGTGCGTGGATGTAGTGCGGATGACAAGAAACAGATGATTGCTGATGTTATGAATGAAAAGAATTTGGGATGTCCTGGCTCTAAGCGAAACAAAGCTGAAGGGGATAGGAGAGTTTCAGTGGGGGAAATAAATGGGTTTAAAAATCTGGAGTATCTGAGAGAGTTAGAGCAAAGGAAGGGGTAGCAGTAATGTTAAAATGAACAGTTATGGAAGGAGAAAAGAGAATATGAATGTGTAAATTCAAAAATTATGTGGATTAAAGAAAAGGGTTTGATGCGAGAAATGGGTCATAATAAGCGTGTATGCACCTGGAGAAGAGAGGAATGCAGAGGAGAGAGGAAAATTTTGGGAGATGTTAAGTGAATGTATACGAGCCTTTAAACCAAGTGAGAGAGTAATTGTGGTAGGGGCCTGAATGCTAAAGTAGGAAAACTTTTAGAGAGGGTTTGTGGTAGGTAAGTTTGGGGTGCCAGGTGTAAATGATAATGGGAGCCCTTTGATTGAACTTTGTATAGAAAGGGGTTTAGTTATAGGTAATCATATTTTAAAAAAAAGAGGATAAATAAGTATACAAGATATGAATGTAGGGCGAAATGACAGTAGTTTTTTTTGGATTATGTATTGGTAGATAAAAGACTGTTGAGTAGACTTCAGGATGTACATGTTTATAGAGGGGCCACAGATATATCAGATCACTTTCTAGTTGAGCTACACTGAGAGTAAAAGGAGATGGGATACAAGGAGAATAGAAGCATCAGGGAAGAAGAGGTAAGGTTTAATAAACAAAAAGAGGAGGCAGTTAGGGTAAGATGTAAACAGCTATTGGAGGATAGATGGGCTAATGAGAGCATAGGCAATGGGGTCGAAGAGGTATGGGTAGGATTAAAAATGTAGTTTTAGAGTGTTCAGCAGAAGTTTGGGGTTACAGGAAAGTGGGTGCAGGAGGGAAGAGGAGCGTTTGGGTGGAATGATGATGTAAAGGAAGTAGTAAGGGAGAAAAAGTTAGCATATGAGAAGTTTTTACAAAGTAGAAGTGATGCAAGGGGGGAAGAGTATATGGAGAAAAAGAGAGAGGGTTAAGAGAGTGGTGAAGCAATGTAAAAAGAGAGCAAATGAAGAGTGGGTGAAATGTTATCAACAAATTTTGTTGAAATAAGAAAAAGTTTTGGAGTGAGATTAACAAGTTAAGAAAGCCAAGAGAACAAATGGATTTGTCAGTTAAAAATGGGAGAGGAAGTTTTTAAAATGGAGAGTTAGAAGGTATTGGGAAGATGGAGGGAAATTTTTTGAGGAATTGTTAAATGTTGATGAAGATAGGGAAGCTGTGATTGTGTATAGGGCAAGGGGGAATAACATCTTGTAGGAGTGAGGAAGAGCCAGTTGTGAGTGTGGGG